CGGGGCCGGGCCGTCCGGGGCGGGGCCGAACGGCGGCGGGGCGGGGCCGGGGCGGGGCCGGGGCGGGGCCGAGCGGCGGCGGGTGGCGGGCCGCGCGCGGGCCGGTCTGCGGCGTGGGCCTCGGCTGTGGCGGCGGCGGCGGCGGCGGCGGAGTGGGGGGAAGATGCTGCAGTCCCTGGCCGGCAGCTCATGCGTGCGCCTGGTGGAGCGGCACCGCTCGGCCTGGTGCTTCGGCTTCCTGGTGCTCGGCTACCTGCTCTACCTGGTGTTCGGCGCCGTGGTCTTCTCGTCGGTCGAGCTGCCCTATGAGGACCTGCTGCGCCAGGAGCTGCGCAAGCTGAAGCGGCGCTTCCTGGAGGAGCACGAGTGCCTGTCGGAGCAGCAGCTCGAGCAGTTCCTGGGCCGCGTGCTGGAAGCCAGCAACTACGGCGTGTCGGTGCTCAGCAACGCCTCGGGCAACTGGAACTGGGACTTCACCTCCGCGCTCTTCTTCGCCAGCACCGTGCTCTCCACCACAGGTAGAGGGAGGCCCGGCGCCCCGGCGCCCCGGCCCCTCCCCCGGGCCCCCGCGGCGCGCACCGCGGGCTCCGGAGCCGGAAACCCGCGCGGCGGCCACTGAACGCGCCTTGGGTGTCGCCGCGCTTAACTCCGGGGAGTGGTCCCTAAAGCCTTCGGCCGGGGTGTCTAGGAGGACTTCAGGGCCCGCGTCCGGTTTTCCGCGGTTCCCTGCCCGTGCCTGTCGGGTGGGGATCTGGAGCATCCCGGCCGCCGCGCGGCGGGGCGAGGGGATGCTGGAGCCCGTCCACCGCTCCGAGTGCGCGCACGGTCCTCCGCCCCCACCCCGCAGGGCCGAGGCTGCGCTCAGGGGTCACCTTCCGGAGGGTCCCCCGTCCCGGTGATGCATAGATTTCTCGCCTCTCTGCTCTTTGGGGAGCGGTTGTAGGGGTGGCCGGATGACATCACCCTGCTCTTCGCGGGTGACCTCTGAGCGGACTGGCGGATCCGGTTTCTTTTCGGAGTCGGAAGAGGGGTGCGGGAAGGGAGCATCCGATCGCCTCGGGTCTGGCGAAATGGGGGCACCCTGATTCAGCAGTTTTTTCAACTTCAGGTGTGCGAGGCCGCCCTTAAACTTCGCAGCGACACTTCCCCGCCCTGCTCACCCCGTAGGACGCTCAGGAGTGGAGGAGCGTCCTGGGGTGCGGGCGCGGCCAGCGCGTGCCCCGCGGCGCCCTTACTGTGCGGGATTAGATGAATGAAGGCTGGATTTTCCCGGCAGCTAAGGGAGGCGCACCCACCTGGTTGGAGATATTTATAAACTGGTATTTGAGCCCTGGAAAGTCTATCAAAGAGCGTTCAGCGAAGTCCCCTTTTTTATCCAGGAGATGGAATCTTTCAGCCTCCCGTCTTGGCTGGAACAAGGTCACGCACTTCCTAGTTACCTGGGCAGACCTGGAATCCGGGCCCCGGGTGACCCCTGCTAGGATACCGGGCTCGCCCCACCCCCACCTCCGGAGCAGGTGAATCAACTTTGTGTGGCAACAATTCTTCCTTCACTCCACCCGCTAGGCGCCTCCCAGGGTTTATTTGTAAATAAATAAATGCCCTTTGGGCTAAACCCGGTTGAGTGTTTTGGTAATAAGTGGTACTAATAGTACACTTGCCATATAAATCCTGTAAAACAACGATTTGGAAGTGTGGGGTGCATTACCAAACTGCCGTGAACAATTCTAGCTTGCTTTGTGATATTCTAGAGACTGTGTTAAGCTTCGCGCTAATCAAGAGTGCTATCTCTCCCACTTTGCCAACACCATTCTTTTTATTTTGACAAGGGCTGCCTCCATTGTCTTTGTCGGGCTCCCATCCTCCCATCATTTAAGTCACCATGCTTTTCCTTTGAAGTACATTTGTTCTCAATCGAA